AAAACTCAAAACCAAACTAAAGTTGGATTGAATTAGGAGAGCTAGAGTTATTCCTATTTCCAAGAAAATTTGTTTTCGCAAGTTTTGGTTTTTGTAGTGGCTTAATAGCAGTGACTTGAGAGCTAGGAGGATCTGTGGATATGTATGTACCCGTATCACTATCAATAAGGGGCAACGATGCACACCGTATCATAACATGGTTTTAGTCAGTAAATCTCCAACATAACCTGTCCTTGCGGTATGCGAAGCGTATTCTTATGAAAAAAAAAAGAATTGCAGTAGTTAAGTAGCTTAAGACTTCTTGGCCCACTGCAACGGCTCATATTATGAACCTGCTATGAACATATCAGACACGAAAAAAACGGCAGTCGCTACTACGCCCACTAGAATGTATTAACAACTTATCATATCCGTAATACACAATGCGATACGCTGAATAACCGTATCATCCTCGTTCAATATGTGCACGACTATTATGTCCGTTCTATCGGTTGCACTTCATTTTGTTCAAAAGGATGTGTATGTGAGAAATGTGTTGGAAATTGTTACGTGGTAGAGGTAGAGCCACGCTGCAGCTGTATTGTGGTTATAGCACGAATGGGTCAGGTTGACCGAGGAAAGACCACGCTCTTACAGAATACCAGCGTAAATTAACAGTTTAATGCTGCTCTGTTTCGTATGGTGAGTGTAGAGAACCGGAGACCCTTTGTACTGAAAACGAGGCATTCCATCGCAGTCCTCAGGGATGACGCATTTGCATTTTGATTCTTAATAGAAGAAGATAAATGTAGATGCCTACGGGTTACAGCATTCACTTACCATCAGGTAGACTGTGTTCTTGTTTGTCACCTCCATTCTATAAAAATCTTTACGGTGGCTATTAAAAAGAACTCTGTAAGATAACTAACAATGATTGGTTATTTTGGGCAACGGTGAGCATACGCGGTTACAATGCATTTTACCGCCTATTTAGAGCAGTTTGGCAGAGATGTGTATAATGCCCGATACTTGTATCAGTATTTTTTTTATAGGATATGGGCGACAAACGAGCACACAGTCCACCTGATGTTAAGTGGCTGCTGTGGCCCATAAACATCTGCATCTATCTTCGTTTGCGAATTAAAATGCAGATGCGTTGTCACCCGTGAGGACTAAGATGGAATGCCTCGTTTCCAGTAAAAAGGGTCTCCGGTTCTCTACACTCACCATACGAAACACAGCAGCATTAAGCTGCTATTTTACGCTGGTATTCTGTGAGAGCGTGGTCTTTCCCCGGTTGAGCCGACCCATTCGTGCTACAACCATAATATAGCTGCGGCATGGCTCTACCACGTATGAATATGCCAAATATTTTCGTTGTAAAATCCGCTGTCAGACTAGTCGTAGCGTGCTATGGTATTGGTTGTGACGGAATGCTCTAGTTGGCGTTGTTGCATATTAATTTATACAAATAATATTTTCTTTTGCATATGCCGAAACGGTTACGATAACGCTATGGGTCATTGTAGTGTGTAGAGATCTTAATGGGCAGAGAACTAGATTGCTGAGACTGAGATTGGGGTGGAATTTGATTAATTTGAGATTTGATGAATATAAATAGTTTGTTGTTCTCAACGCCCGCTGATGATTGCTAAAATATTTAGTTTTTTTTTGCTATCCTTGGTGTAGCATGAAGATAGAAATTAAAGTATAGAAAATGTGGTTTTTCCAACTCCTCGTATTAATGACTAAGTGTCAGAGTTTGTAGGAAGAATACCTTTGTTTTCAATTGAATCTTATAAAAATAATTAAATTATATGTTCATTTTTATAAAATATTCTAATGATTAGTTTTTATTTCCAGATGTTAAAAATTTCTAACAGCAACGCAAGTAATACAGGAGTGTGGTTGGATGGAGCTATACATGCCCGCGAATGGATCAGTGCATGTGTTGTTACGTACATAGCCGAACAGATTGCCAAGAACTTTGACACAATGCCAGCGAACATAACTAACAAAGACTGGTAAACACGACGTGTTCTATTAAAGCACGGTCGCGGGGCAGAATTCTTTTATTGATTTGCATTTTAAACTTAATAATTCTTAATAAAAAGTTTTATTTCTATTGCAACTCAGATAGTTTTAGGACCTTTTGAACAGTATTTGTGATTCGAAAACCGAGTTTAATCTCAAGTTATTAAAGTTCACATTTGTATGAATTGCAATAATTTTAAATTCTTCCTGCTCCGCGATCACGCCATGTTTGATTTGTCCATTCATTTGCATATTAATTTAATTAATTTTGTTTTTAGGTATTTGGTGCCAGTTGTAAATCCAGATGGTTATGTTTATACACATTTAAATGATCGAATGTGGAGGAAAAATAGATCGCGCCTTGGCACTACTGTTGTTGGAGTTGACCTGAACAGAAATTTTGGGTTCTCTTTTTTACAATCTAATCTAATAAAGTCAATACGATTATCATTATTTTTCAATTAATACAACTAAAGTCATAATTTTCAGGTATAAATGGGGAGGAGCAGATAATTCATCCGGTGACCCTAATCATAATAATTTCAGGGGATTTGATTCCTTTTCTGAGCCAGAATCTAATGCTATTAAGGTTCTTATATACAATTATATACGTAAATATTTACTTTCAACTTGATTTAGTCTATATTGTTTAATTGTAATTTATTTTTATTTTTAGGATGTAATATTCTATTCCACTACACCTTTTAAAATATTTTTAACATTTCACGCGTACAGCGAAGTTATAACATTTCCTTGGTGTTACACGTCGGATCCTTGCCCTGATTATGTAAATTTGCTTGAAGGAGGCACTGTTATGGCGAAGGTAACCCTTAATCCACGTTTCCCAAAATTCCTTTGTATATAACTTTTATAAATATAATAACCTCATCTTCATCAACTCGCGACATGGGCTTCCCGCATAGTAAGACGTAATTATTACACTTAATAAGCAGATCAGCCGTCGCAGTCCCAGAAAACGGGGAGACACCCCGTTGACGTTCTGAATTTTTCACATGGTAAAAATGGAAAGAATACTTATACTGCGATCTCTTGGAAGCAATGTATATTTTTGGTATTTTATATTGTCCACTCCTTCGGCGGTCAAGACATAATACAGAGATGATGGATTCTCTTAAAGAGGTTTCTTAGAACAAATCCAATGTAAATTAAATTAATACACGGACCACTTCTCGGCCATGGAAACTGTATCCATTTCAGCTAACTTTTCATTTTAGAGAATAAAAAGAAGTCACACGGTACCAAATCGAGGCTGTTCTGGACATCACTCGTTTTGAACGACGAATGCGCGGACGCGTCGCCACAGTGTAGTTGTAGGCCGCGTAGCGTATTTGGTCGTTTGTTGCTCATATCTGGCAAGCATTGGGTAGTATTCGGCAATGATGTAACTTCAATTTTGTAAAGGAATTGACAACACATAACCAGTCACAGTGAAAAAACCTAGTGATCACAATCTCGCCTGCACTTATCGATCGCTTATCTTTGGTAAGCCTTGGTTTATTTTGCAAACCAAAACCATCGACTGGTGCATCGTTACGTTTCTGGATCATATTGATAATTGCAAGATTCATCACGTGTAATAATTTCACAAACACGCTACGCTGATACGCTGAGAGTTACGGTAACGTGAGACTGCTTTCGATCGTCGGTAAGGGGTTTTCACGCGAAGGTGTTTGTGTAAAATCTCGTGAACGCTTCTCGATCCAATCTGCAATATGTGCCGAATTTGTTCATACTATGTATTTCACCTATTATTTCTAATCCGATTTTTCACTGCTAGCATCTTTCCTCCTCTAACATTCGTTAAAGGGCGACTACTTATTTTTTTCATCTCTTTAGTCTTTTCCATAGATGTCATTAGAGTCTATTTATCTATTTCTACCATTTGAAGTCTATCAAACGATTCATATAGTTCCAAGCAATATTTGAAACCGTAAAAAATCATCGTGCAATAGTTTTTTTTGATGCAAATCTATTTTCAATGAAACAGGATATTTCAATGTAGCTTGTAAAAATTGGGAAAAAGTTTGAAATCAGAACGTCGTATTAAGCAGTCGCCTCTGCATATAAACATCAGAGGAGTCGTATCGTTGCTGACCTTTAAGGAGAAAAATACTCTTTTCTCGAAGGTATCTCGGTCTTAAAAATTGCTGGAGGAAAGAAAATTATTCACATATTGCTTCAGCTGGTTGCTTGTATTGACTAGTTTAAGTGTTTTAAAAGTATTCCAAAAATACAATTTATAAAGTTATATTAAATTAGATGAAAAATTAAAGTTTGGTGTCGTGAAGAGAAACATAGAAGTCAAAAAATTGTTAAGACAAAAAAAGTAGTAGATATGGTAAAACGTAAAACTTTTCAGGCTATATATGAAACAAGCGGTCGCATGTACAAAGTTGGTAACTTTAAAGACCTAATGTATCCAGCGTCCGGAACAAGTATTGACTGGAGCTATGGTGTGGCGCGCATACCTTTTTCTTATCTAATCGAGTTAAGAAGCAAGGACTACAAATTCTTATTGCCGAAGGAACGGATATTAGAGTGTTGTCAAGAGATATGGAACGGCGTGAGAGCATTGGCGGAACATGTCGATAAAAAGAAATGCTGGAATTGTGTTATCATACAAAATTAATATGTATATAAGATCAATGTTCATTGTAATAGCAAATTTTTTGTTTAGTATTTTGAATGTTTTTGAATATTGTCAAGTTTAATAAATATTGTTTTTGAAGTTTTTGATAAAAATACATATACTTTTTAGTAATGTGTAAATTTTAATTTACTCATATATTTAAATAAAATTTTTACGATTTTTTACAGTCTAAAAACTTGTACATACACTTGAAAAGAAAACTATTTACATCACTGAAAATAAAGTAAGTTTAAACAGAAAATATTTTGATTCGAAAAAAAAATGATTTCGTTTCCCTTATCATAAATATTTTGGAAATTCAGGTTTTTTCAAACATTTATCTTTTTTCATCTACAAAATCCATAAGTTTCTTCACAGCATTCCATATTTCTTTTCCTGTTTCGATTATCTGATCTTTCGGCAGTCTAAATTTATGTTTTCTGCTTCTTAGCTCTATCATATAAGAGAACGGTATATTTGCCATTGTGTAGCTCCAGTCCGTACTAGTCCCACACGCATAATACGTCAAGTCCTTGGTGCTGCCAACCTTATAGGTGATGCCACTGGTTTCGTAGATTGCCTGAAAAATATTTTGTGTATGTACTTAAATTTACCCTACAATGGCGGTGTAAGAATATCCACTACCCCATATCATCCTGTGGGTGTCGTAAGAGGCGACACAGAGAAACTAATCACGAGATAGGCAGCGTCTTTCTAATAATGACTACAAATAAGAAACTGCGGTTGCCAACCCGCTTGCCAAGTGTGGCAACTATGACAAATATCCCCCCCATGAGCCAATCTATGGCTATCGCTTATGTTCAGCAGTGAACTTTAATAGAATGTAACGGTAACGGTAATTAAATTTGTTATTGATAACTTTTATATTTTATTTAAATATTACTGTTATATTTTATAATTTTCTGCAAATCAATTTAAATGCAATAACAATTGTAAAATTATTTATTTCCTCATTTTATTATATATTTTTGCTAGCTTTGGGAAATTTTAACCGTCTCCAAAAAAGGAACATTTTCTCCATTTATTTATTTTCTTCATTATGTTACTTGATCTATTTATCAATTATAAACCAATTTAAATTATTTTCTTTTATTCAATATGTTTGAATTCAGAGATCCACATAGATTTTGAGAAACATCGTAAGGCAACCTTTATGTCTGAGAAATATAAAAATATTTCGAAAACATGTGATGTCCGCAAACACACGTGCAGCACGGTGGACAGTTCATTGGCCGTTTTAGCTCTAAGTAATGAGAGGAGGCCTGTGAGGACGTATATAGGTTGTAAAATACTATTATTAGCCAGTAATTGACTACAATCCCATCTGGTATTATTGGCGATGAAGCCCGAGTGTTTTAGCGTACCAACAGCCCTCACACTCTCTACTCACTCTTGCCTTGAAAACACCTAATTTTTTCTTTATTTCATCGCTTGGAAACTATTATCAGGTTCAACCCTACGTACAAGTTTTTGGTGGCACACACACAAACATATATACATACTACATATTATAAACTTTATTAAACCAATTTTGTACAAAAAGGGGTTATAAAAATATTAAGGATGTTATGAATGATAATAACCCCTTTAAAGGCGCTACCAAGTTATTTCTAATCTGTTACGTGTTGTTAATTATTGTGTAACTTTAATAATAGTAAACTGTTTTTTTATTAGCAGAATAATGTAGGTAGGTGGGCTACATCTAGGATCTCTGTAGTCTTGTACTTATTGTCTTACCCTTGCCATAATTGTACCGCCTTCTAGCAAATTAAGATAATCTGGACATGCATCTGTTTTATGTCCCCATGGGAAAATTATTAATTCGAAGTAGCTATGAAACGACAGAAATACTTTAAAAGGTGTCCTCGAACTCATTATGGTATCCTGAAAATTAATTAGTTATTATAGATGTATATCTTTATTTATGGTATAGTTGAGTCTGGTCTGAGCTTTTGACTTTGTGCATACAAATAATTCAAGATCGAAACCCAAAGTCAGCGAATCTGCAATTTTTAATTGCGATTTTCAATGATGATTTTTTTTCTTACTTTTCTACTGTATCGTGGGGGCAGTTTACATACATAAATTTCACAAGGACAAACATCAAGACCCAGAAAAATTATTTGTAGGTCATACACTTGGCGCTGCAACTCATTGCTAGGCCACTGCGCCATGGAGCCGTCATATTATATTTAAATATTTGACGGTAAAAGAAAAGAAATAAGATATTAAGAACGTGTAAAGCATGTCGATTCTTACAGAAACAGCTTAAAGGGGTTTTCACCGTCGATTACCCTAGATTGCTTATGATTTTATCTTTGATAAGTTTTACGTGCTTTATTCATCTCTATATATAAAAATCAATTTTTTTTTCCATTTTTATTAAAATTTCTGTGTGTTTGAGTGGGTTCTTGCATAATCTAAACAAAACGCTATTGTCGAGATCCGGAAGTCACCCGTGCGAAACCAGGGCAGATCGCTAGTTATAAATAAAATGGACGAATATTTAGGAGAGAAAGATAAAAGTCTACATATTTATGTTCCGTTGTTCAGCGGAGCACTCTTTTTATTTCTGAGAAGGGTGAGAAGGTTTTGGAGCAAGGATGAAAAAGCCGCGGTATTACAGTACGTGTTCATGGAATTTTCTTGGGCACATGTCCTCGATGTTAAATTTCTTTGTAACACCAGTATTTTCGATTAAAATTAAAATTTCGCATCGCACTATATCATTTAACATGATACTTAAAGCAAGTGAACTCCACTGGATTCCCAAAATATTGCAAGCTTAAGAGAATTATATTTAATTTTTTATTATCTTGTCTGATGTAAATATTTTTTTTTATAGGATAGGGTGACAAATGAATACACAGTTCACCCGATGGTAAGAGGTTGCTGTGACCCATAGACATCCACATCTATCCTCAATAAAAAATCAAAATGCAGATGCGTCGTCACCCGTGAGGACTAAGATGGAATGCCTGTTTTCCAGTAAAAAGGGTCTCCGGTTCTCTACACTCACCATACGAAACACATCAGTGTTAAGCTGCAATTTTACGCTGGTATTCTATGAGAGCGTGGACCTTCCCCGGTCGAGGCGACCCATTCGTGCTAGAACTCTATTACTAATATACTATATGGCTTTACCACGTGAAAACCAATACAACTAAATAAATATGTATATCAATAAGTCTGCTGATTATATAGATTTAAAAGAAAATTGTACTGATTGAAGGTTTTCCATTACCCTCACTGCTACGGTTTCAGGTTCTGAAAAGGGTGCAGGTCCTCTGTAGAATACGTTATTTGGTTCATCTGAAGAACCTTGGTCACCGTTGCTTCCCCACCCGCAACTAGAACACGACTAGAGTTTTATTTTTTTAAATTATAACTTAATATTGACGTAGTTTTTATAACAAAAACGTATAATTTTATATATTTTTAAAAAGCCATGACTAGTGAGTATAGGTTTAGGAAATTTACAAGGTGATTTCTGCCGATAAGCAGCAGTGTATTCACTGTGTATGCTGCATTGAAAATTATGGTGAGGCGATCTGTAAGTTACAAGCCTCAAGCCATTTTATCTTCATCATCACGAGTGACAATGCTTTTGTGACCGTGGTTTTTGGCGTCCATAGGCTGCAATAGCCACTTACCTGTAACTGTAAGATTTTCAGCCACTTTCTTCTTTTTCTTCACCAACCCGCAAAATTCCATTGGACACGAGCGTCTCTCATTGTGGAGCAGCTTTGCCTTAATCATCACACTTGGCCGGTGGATTGATGATCCCAGTAAAGGACGTCTTTGAAAATTCGACATTTTTGACGCTGATTATATTGCACCACATGCACTTCAGCTTAGCATATGGGCGATCGTGCCTCGCACAATCTTAGAATTGACACCTATACGTACATAAACTTAGAAAGTAAAACAATATCTAAATACAAAGTTTCATCCAAATAGTTAGAGACGTTTTCGAGAAACCAATATGGTTAGAAATGCAGGAACTTTTTTTTATAGGAGAGGGGACAAACGAGCGTGTGGTTCACCTGATGGTAAGTGACTACCGTCGTCCATGAACAACTGCAACACCAGGGGAATTGCAGATGCGTTGCTGGCCTTTAAAGTCAACGGGTGCAGGTGGCCCAAGACTGTACTTTGTGTTATTCCTTAGGAGAGACCTATGTTAAGCAGTGAACTTGTGATGAGATGTAATGATGATGATGATATACATATAATTTAAAAAATACTCGCTAATATATAATGAAAGAAAAACTTCAAAATAAAAAATGCGTGCACCTGAAGTTTCGATTAAGATCAACGCCAACACATTTCCCTCCATATGTTGCGCGATTCTTTCTCCACATGCGGTCATGATTGTGAGTGAACTCGTACCCGTCTGGATTAAGTACTGGTACAATGTGCCTGAAAAATATTTTTTTATTAAAATTATATAGAATTTATAACGACCCTTATCAAGGAAAACCTTCTTTCGCATTGCTAACTTCACTTGCACGCATCGTCATCACTGTAGAAATAATTGCTGAGACTCTGGCAACTGACAAATGGGAGTACATCCAATTTCAAAAGCAAATCGGACAAAATGAATATGAGAAAAAAATGTCCTCTGCGCCGAGTTTCAGTTATAGCTTCCCGTAACTGAAACTCGATGCGGAAGACTTACGGAGTCTTCGTTGAGACGGGAAGCCATAACTGAAACTTCTGCGCGGAACAGGATTACAGTGCACGAGCTCGAGTGTGAGCGCCAACACGGGTGCAATCTCTATTCTCTCTTAATTTCGTAATAAAAAATATTGAGTGTCAGTTATCAGGATAAAAACTATCCTATCTCTCAACCAAACTGCACACAATGTGCAAAATTTCATTGCAATCTGTTCAGTAGTTTAGGAGTTCATCGCGGACAAACAACGTGACACGTAATTTTTATATATAAAGATTTAATGCTACCTATATATACATACATGGTACATACATAATTAAATATAGCAGTTTGTGATTCAAACACCTATAACATATTTAAAATACAAATAGTAAAACGGAAAATCTACAACTACTCCTGCAACGTCAGAAAATGATTCCAGAGCAACCGCTTGAACGATGGCTCTTGGCTGCGCGTACATAGTTCGGTAACTCGTTCCATACTCTTATCGCATGGGGTGTAAAAGAGAGTCTTCTTATCACTTCAAATTCACTATCAAAATTACCGTTACAGCCTATGCAGCATACCTCCACCTCATAGATTACCTCAAAGTAGCTACGCTATTTAGCCGGGAATATTTGCCATAGCAGCCACGCTCGGCAGGCAGGTTGGCAACCGCAGTTTATTTAGTTGTTATTTAGACGTTGCTGTCCAGCTCCTGGTTTTTTTCTCTCTGTCACCTCTTACGGCAACCACGGGACGATATGTATCGCCGATATGTTCTACGCCGCCACTACACGGTACTTACTCAAAATTTCAATTAACAATTTTACTGGTGCCAATGATTATCAACCGATAATAATCATATTACGGTATAGCCCCTGAGCTACCTCGGCTCGTTTAAACATATTTTATATGATTGTTAGACGTACCAATCTTTATTAGTGACTGACTCTGAAAGATTATGAAAATTTCTGGCTAAGATGTCAGCTATATAAGTAATAACAGCCGTAGTGATCCATTCTCGGGGGTGTATGGAAGCGTCCAACCACACGGGTGAATTACTAGCGTCACTGTTTGAAATCTTTAGCATCTAAAAGACCACGACTTATAGAGAATCAAGAAACGTGATATTTTATTTAAATATTATAACTAAACGGTGAAGTGTAAGCTATGCACAATTATTTAGTGCAGTCATACTAGATTGTGCGTAGAAATTGGGGACATCTATTTTTTAAGTAGCAGCGTAAATATATCTATTACCATACCATCTCGTGGGTGTCGTAAGAGGCATAGGCATTGGAAGGAATCTAAAACAGAATATGTCCAGCAACATCTTCCTGGTAACTACTGATGTTTTCCTTCACCGCCGAGCACATGGTAAATCAGCACTTAAAATTGCAATTAACAATTTCATTGGTGCTGGCGGGGATTGAACCCGGGTTGCTCGCGTATTGTGAAATTTACAGCGAGCGCTAACCATTTGAGCTACCACGGGTCGGCACGACGGCTTATTTTTGTTGCGTGTAGTTAGCTATATTTGAACATTTGGCAGACAAAGTGCCGTGCTCCAGTTGAGATGTATGCAGGATCATTTTCTAAAGCACGGTCGCGGAGGTGGAGTTTTTTTATTGCTTTGCATTTTTGAACTTAATTCCCATCATAAAAAGTTATATTTCTACTGCAACTAAAATAGTTCTAGAACCTTTTGAATAGTATTTGTGATTTGATAACCAAGTTTATTCTCAAGTAATTAAAGTTCACATTTGTATGAATTACAATAATTTGAAATACTTCCTGCTACGCGATTACGCCATATCACGTTGTGTGTTGGTACATTCACGTTTGTGTACTCTTGATTTGTCATCAAAAGCTTTTCAAATCACACTGTTCAACATAGGTCTATAGACTTAAATAGTTATCTATACTTTTTCTTTTTTACATTTTTTTATAAGATAAGGGCGATAAACAAGCATACAGTCCACCTGATGGTAAGTGGTTGCTGTGGTCCATAGATATCTACATCTATCCTCGATTATGAATCAAAATGCAGATGCGTTGTCACCCGTGAGATAGAATAGCCTTGTTCCCAGTAAAAAGGAATAGATAGCCTTGTTCCCAGTAAAAAGGGTCTCTGGTTCTCTACACTCACCATACGAAACAGCAGCATTAAAACCCCGGTCGAGCCGACCCATTCGTGCTACAACTATACCAGTAATATAGTTGCAGCATGGTTTTACCACGTAGAAATACAATAAATAAAGAAGTACGCATATTTGCATTTACTACAACCAAAAAGATCTACTTTATGTATCGTGTAATTTAAAATTTTCTTACCTTAATGCTTCTACCCTCTACTGACTTGCCGATGACTGAGACTGTACAAATAGCGGGGTAATCCCTTTCCAATTCATCCAAAAAGTCGTAAATTATATTGAGCTTGTGATATTTTTTCCAATCCATTAATCTCACTAAAAACATAGCTTAAGAAATAAAAAAGTAGTTTCACATATTGAAACTATCAAAATGTAGGCTTATTACCTTTCCGTCGTTTTGGTTTCTGATTAGGAATAATAATTTGGCATCGGGGAGTCACACAACTGTATTTACCTAATAAAAAAGAAGAATACAATTGAATTTTCAACTTTTTTCATTTAATGCACACTTTATAATTCTTTACTTACATCAGCCCGTATAAGTCCACTGAATATCAGGCGCGAGACCCAATTAACGTTGATTTCGCAACTTTGACACTGGTCCTGGTCGCCAGTGGTAGCGTAAGGTGATTATAAAAACCTCGATGGGACGGTAATCTGACCGATCGTGGACGTAAGACGACCAGAGAGAAATCAGGCGCAGAACCAAAGGCTTTACGTGCTTTCCGAGGCACAGGGGCGAAACACCGCCAAGTTCCAGAATTTCTTTACAGAAAAACCCATTAATAAATGTTTGACCCGACCCGGGATTTGAACCCATGATCAGTAATCGCGTTCACGAATACTAGACTACACTAGACGAAGGCGATTTTTCCGGACCGATACGACTTAGGGACCTTCAAGAAACGAGCTTACACCTTTCTAAAAGGCCGGCAACGCATCTGCAATTCCCCTGGTCTTGCGGTTGTTCATGGGCGGCGGTAGTCACTTACCATCAAGTGAGAATATACTCTCACAGAATACCAGCGTAAAATAGCACATTATATAATGTTTCGTATGATAAGTGTCTTGGGAAGAGAAGCGGAGTTCCTTTTTAGTCAGTATTATTGAATTTCATTGGCTCTCAGACTTGACAACGCATCTGTAGTTTTCTTTGTTTGTAGTTGGCTGCAGGTGTCCGTGGCCTACTGTAGTCACTTACCATCACGTGGAGTTCATTTCATTATCATCATCATTACAGCCCTTCACAAGTCCACTGCTGAATATAGGCCTTCCCCAAGGAATGCCACCTGCATTCATCGATTTCCTGCATGTTTTACCAGGTCGTCACTCCATCTAGGGGGGGGGGGGGGACAATCTACATTTCGCCTACCCGTAAGAGGCTATCTTTCGAGAACCATTTTTTACCACCGATTGTCAGTTTTTCGAGCTATATGGTCGGCCCATTGCCACTTCAACTTCCCAATCCGTTGAGCTATGTCGGTCACTCTAGTTCTACTGCGGATATCCTCATTTTTAAGTTTATCACGCAGAGAAACCCCGTGCATAACCCTCTTCATAAATCGCTGAGCGACCTTGAGCGTCCCCATACGGCCAGCAGTGAAGGACCACGTCTCAAATCCATAAGTCATCACTGACAGCACGCACTGGTCGTACAATCTCGTTTTCAGGTTTTGAGGTATACCTGACGAAAAGATATGTCGTAATTTTCCGAACGCTGCCCAGCCGAGTTGAATCCGTCAATTGACCTCTCGGTTGAAGTTGGACTTACCTATGTAGTCGGACTAGTTGTCCCAGATAAACATACTCGTCAACAACTTCGAGCTTAGTGCTCCCAACAACTGCCGGCATAGGTGTGACATGGACATTAAACATCATCTTTGTTTTGTCCATGTTCATCTTAAGACCTAGCCATTGGGAGACACTATTGAGGTCAATAGGCATAGTGCTTAGGTCCTTCTGCGATTCTGCCATTACGACTATATCCTCGGTAAATTGAAGGTGAGTGATGTACTCGCCATTGATGTTGATACCGTAACCATTTCAGTTCAGTAGCTTGAAAACGTTTTCCAACGCAGCGGTGAAGAGTTTCGAGGATATAACGTCACCCTGTCTTACACCTCTCTGCAGTTGGATAGGTTTCGTACTGTGATTCTGTACTCGGATAACCATCGTAGCCCAACTGTATAAACACTTTAGTACTTCGATATAAAGACAGTGAACTTGGCACCGCTGATGAGACTGTAGCACCGCCCAAATTTCGACCCAATGAAAGGCTTTCTCATAGCCCACATACGCAAGGCAAAGTGGAAGATTGTACTCTTCTGTCTTCTGTACAATTTGCCGAAGGGTGTGTATGTGGCCTATGGTACTAACGCCTTTTCGAAAACCAGCTTGTTTGGGAGGCTAAAATTCGTTAAGTCTGCGTGCGAAACGATTCGCAATGAGTCTCGAAAACAGGACGTAAACGCGGCTCAGAATGGAAATCGGTCTGTAGTTCTTCAAGAGAGCGTTGTCGTCTTTCTTGAAGAACAAGAACACCGCACTTCTGCTCCACGCCTCCAGAGTAGACCCACCATGGAGGACGGAATTAAAACGCTTCTGACGGACTTCAAGTACCGGTTTCCCACCCGCTTTCAGAAGCACCACTGTAATTTAATCCTCACCTGTGGCCTTGCCGTTTTTAAGGTACTGGAGAGCCATGCTAATCTCGCTCAGACTGACGTCCGGGATATCATCGGAATAGTGTCGAACAAGACCTTCTCTTGGATCGTTATTCACACATGCGTGTGGCTCCAACGATGATGTGTACATCTGCTCCTAGAACGTCTAAATCTCACTCAAAATCTCAGGTGTCCCGGAAACGATGTTCCCACACTCGGTCTTCAACTTTGACAGTTGTCTCTTTCTGGCAGACAGTACTCTGGCAAAGACTTTGGAGTCCTGGTTTCACTCGATCGCTTCTTCAATACAAGCTGTATTGAATTTCCGTTCCCGTCAGTATATATATTCAGTTTGCTGTATGCTGTTAAATCTGTTGAAGACTGCAGCCTCATTTTCTGTCCACCAGCCATGAGATTAAGAGTGTGATCAGAGAGTTTTTGTGTTCTTCTGCGGCGGGTCTTGCAGAACTTAGCTCCGACCGCATGGACAGTTTCCACGAGCTTGTCATTCATAACGTCCACTGCATTCCATTCTTCTAGGCACTGAAAACGATTTTGTAACTCGAGCTGAAGGGTTTCGGGACTTTGGATTAGAGCATGAGAGGGACAGAGCGTTTAGGTTTAGTATGCTTCTAACCATTCGGTGATCGCTACCAGTTTTCACCCTCGCGATCACTGAGACATAACTGAACAGTAGTCTTCTGGTCATCATAATGAACTCAATCTCATTTTTGTCGAACCGTCGGGGCTCGACCAGGTCCACTTCCTATAAAGACGCTATTGGAAAAAAGTGTTCATCATAAAAGTCCCTCTTTCTCCATGAAGTCGGCCAGCTGTTGGCCCCTTGGATTCCATTGGCCTATTCCAAATATTCTCTACTTTCAGCTCACCGTTCTCTCTTGTGCCTAGTTTTGCGTTGAAGTCTCTCATTAACACCGTGTAGTGTGTTTTGGAGGAATGCATGGCTTTAGAGATATCCTCATACATTTCCTCCATCTCCTCATCGGGATGTGCCGAGGTTGATGCTGCTGCCCATCTCCTGCCTGTTTCCCACTGTCGCCTCTTACTACACCCACAGGAAGATATGGGGTAGTTAATATTCTGCACGGGAGTTCATTTGTCACTTATAAAAATAGATTTATAAAAAAATTATAGTTTTATAAAAAATATATAAGTACTAATTTTATTTTGTCCGTTCCGTTACGCCTACCAAAATTTCACCAGTGAACTAAGGGATCTATCAGACAGAAGGCGTTCACGCGTTCAAGCGTTCCGTGTTCGTTTTCTGCGTTCATTGTGTTGTATTCCGTTACATAGACATACCCAGACAGCAGGCATTCTGACCGCGTCAGTCGACCAGAACGCACGCGTTCGCGCGTTCACTGCTGTTTTGGTGTTCGCATCGGAAGGAATATGGAGACCGAGAAGTTGATTATGTTAGTACTAGAAAAGTGTTTTTATATGATTTCCAAAGAAATGGGGACCGAAAATGAATTATAATTTTTTTTTTATCGGTAAGCCATTTACAAAACAGTCAATGAAATTCTCCATCTTGTTCTCTATTCTTATTTACTGGGCGCACCCAATGTTTCGATGAAGAACTATAGTCAAAAAACATGGTGACTGTAGTGGCATCGCGTAGCGCTGTAGTAGCGCATCCAACAGTGGGATTTGTGAGCAACTGAACGCTCGAACGCAAAACGCGAACGCGGAATGCTTAAACGCGTGACTGCTTTCTGTCTAATAGAACCCTTAGGATTCCCCCATAGATTGCGTATGTGATATGTGTGGCGGATATTTAAATAGTTACCATGTGTGGCAGGCTTTTTTTAACCCGGTTATTTTTGGTTTTAGGTGTTAACAATGCTTTGGCTGGCATGTTTTTTTTCACAGTTAGGACACAGTCGCTACTCTCGCATTAGAAACGGTGCTCACAATTGCCAATCTATGTCGTTTTATAGAGTCTTGCTTAGAATGCCTCCAGTGCAAGAAAGATTGACAATTGGGGAAAAATTCTTATACAAGGAGTATACGAATAAGAAATTATTCCCTAATTGTCAAATTTCAATTTAAAATGTAAACTTACGGTACAATACATTTTATGGACCGTCCTCCTATGGGTAAAAGCTACGACTTACTTAGAAAAATTACATAAAGCAGAATATATATATATATATTTTTGAGAAATTTTAGGTTATATTTAGCATATATCCAACATAAATAACAATCATTAATTAAATATATAATAAATAAGCTACCTTTTCTCGTATTCAGTTTTGTTTGAGTGCCGATTTCGATTTTTTGCACTTTTTTATCCTCATCTTCTTCAATATAATCATTTTTATGTATAGCAATGGCAGCCAGCCGCGAAAAATTTTCTTCCATTATTAAGTCGATATTAAAACCAGTGTTGAAAGTTATTTCGCTAATGAAATATCAAAGTTAGAGACTGTTGTTATTAATTATTGTCTTTCGTGTTGTAGATAGAAATAAACGAGGTAAGTTGCGCGGAGTCACGTTCCATTAATGATTTAATTGAATGGTGATTAGGTTTAGTCAGAATTTCTATCGAGAAGTCTTTCAATGTAAAACTTTATAATGCATTAATGCTTATTGTCTAATAAAGTAAACTCGGTATCATAATTTTGGACTGCTTACATATAATGATGCAATTTATTGCATGATTTCTTTATACGAATATCTTGTACGTGGTAGAGCCACGCTGTAGCTGTATTATGGTTGTAGCATGATAGGTCGACTCGATCGGAGAATGACCACGCTCTCACAGTATACTATCGTAAAATATCAGCGTAAAATATAGAGAACCGGAGACCCTTTAAACTGGAAACGAGGCACTCCAGCTCAGTACTTAAAGGTGACAACGTATCTGCACGTCTATGGGCTACGGTATGCACTTATCATTAGGTGGACTGCGTAACGTGTTATCCATATTCAATAAAACAAATCAATACATCTATATTAAGCTTTATAAACCTGCAGGGAACAACAAAAATTAGAATAATAAGATAATATAGTATTACTAGTTAATAACAAAATATTATCAGCTTTGGACTCAATGGAAAAGTTTGCTAAAAAACATTGTTTACACAATTTGGTTAATAAAACCAATCTTAGCAGTCTCAAGCACAGGTGTAAAGTACCCAGTCTTTCGTTTTTCCTCAGGATACATTTTATCATTTTTATAAATGGTAGAGCTATGCTGCAGCTATATTACTTGTATAGTTGTAGCACGAATGTTGGCTCGACCGGTAAAGGACCACGCTCTCACAGAATACCAGCGTAAAATAGCAGCTTAGTGCTGCTGTGTTTCGTATGGTGAGTGTAGAGGACCAAAGTTCCATCTTAGTCCTCACGGGTGACAACGCATCTGCATTTGGATTAGCAAACGATGATAGATGTAGATGTCTATGGGCCACAGCAACCACTTACCATCAGGTGGACTGAGTGCCCGTTTGTCACTCTTATCCTATAAAAAATATATGATTGCATAACCTAGAAAACTCCTAACACACCCTACCACCATCGACCAATATAATAACCAAATGCTTGTTCAGTCTTCACCCTTTTATTGTCTACTTACAAAATATTCGAACCAAATGGATTACTTTTAATATTAACTTTCGCGCTATATATTTTCTTCACCATTCGGTCTTCACTCATTCGCTCAACGTGCCCAAATCACCGAAGCACGCCCTAATCAATTTTTGTGATAAGGTCATCTTTCAAACCTGCATTATTGCGAATCTCTTCGTTTCGCTTTCGATCGGCCATGGTAACGCCGCACATTTTACGAAGAGATCGCATCTCCACTGCATTCAACTTGCTTTTATGCTTCTTCTGGCATACCCAGGTTTCGCTGCCATATAACAAAGTCGGTACCAACACTGCGTTATATATTGCAAGGCGTGCACTCTTCTCTACGCCTTGCCTTTTGACTAACGCAGTCAGGGCACCATTGACTTTGTTCCCGGCAGCGACACGCCTGTCCACATCTAAATCACATCTTCCATCCCGGCTAAAAGCACTCCCCAAGTATACAATTTCATTTACCTGTTCTAGACATTCCTGATTTACCCACATTTCACACTTCGTTCTCTCTTCGTCCCTTTCAAATACCAGAACCTTAGTTTTATTAGCATTCAAACGGAGACCTTTAATTTCACATTCCTCTTTCATACACGTGACTAATGCCTGCAGTTCTGCCTCTGATGGTGCAACAAGCACTGCATCATCAGCATACAGCAGACAATTTACTTTTATGTCACCCAATTTCACACCCAAACAGCTATCTTTCAGTTTCTGTAAACAGCTGTCGAGATACAGTATGAACAGCCAGGAAGACATGACACAACCCTGTTTTACGCCCGTTTGGACGCTAAACATGGGTGACAGGTCATGCCCTACCCGCACACAGGCTTTACAGTCACAGTAAAGAGACTGCACAGCCCTTAGCAATCGACCATCCACACCATACCCCGGCAACAGTTCCCACATTTTCTTCCTTACAACCTTATCAAATGCTTTCTCAAGATCCACAAAAGCACAGAAAATCTTCTGGTTAGCAGCCAGAAGCTTCTCCGTGATCATGCGGAGAGAAAACATTTGATCCGTGCATCCTCTTCAAGGTCTAAATCCGCATTGTGGCTCCCATAGAAATCTTTCCGATTTCTCTTGCATCCTACGTGTCAAAACCGTCGAGTAAACTTTACTTGCTATACTTGTTAAGCTGATCGCCCGATATCACCCGCAGTCAAAATGTGAACCTTTACCTTTATATAAAGGCACAATGACTGCGGATCGCCAATCATCCGGGACACCCCCCGTCCGCCAGCACAAATTGCACAGCAGATGAAAGCTGTCCCAGACGCGAGGCCCACCATACTTGACCATTTCAGCAGTAACTCTGTCTAGTCCCGCAGCCTTACCACATTTCAAACTTCGAATCGCACGTTCAATCTCTTTCATACTGATGACCTCAGTGTCATCAAGGTCCGGGTCTGCCGTACCAGTCACGGCGTCGTCGTCGAGAAGTCTTGAGCTCACAACCTTATATTCAGTCATAACATCGACCATCCGAGAAGACAGCAGCACCCCCACTCCCTGGCAGGCGTTCTCGCTCTCCGGGACTCCGGACCATAGAGCTAACGCCCCGCCAGAGCTCCCCTTCAGTACCACTGCCCTTCCGTTTGGTCTCCGACATACACACGACATCTAATTCTCTTTCTTTCATTATTTCGATCAACTCATTCGTCTTATCTCTCATGCCTCCTCTAACATTTCACGTGCCAACTCTGCACTCTGTCCTCCACCTTCCGCCGTGTCGGGCTGTGCGTGACGGGTGGCGGTCCCCATCGCCGCTTTGCACGCTGCATTCCACACCAACGGGGACGAGCTGGTGTGCGTCCCCTAAAAGGTGTCGAGGTAGACCGAGACTAACTTTCGAAGACCATGTGAGCAAATTGCTCGAAGAGGGTAGGGTCAAGAGTACTCGGATACCTAGACGTGCATGTATGAAGAAGATAATGAATCTGAAAGAAGCGAAAGAGGTATGTAAGGATTGTGACACTTGGCGATCTGTTCTCTCTGGCTACCCCGTCAGGGATTTTGCGTGAAGATAAGTAACTAAGTAAGTAAATGGATTACTACATCGTTCGTCATGCGTGAAGCAAAGGACGGTAGTTATTTGCTAGTATCTAGCTTTCTATCCGATAACTATCTATGTGTCTTCAAGATAAGAGTGAATGGGCATCCGTTAATCTAAATCAGTGCGCTTTACCATATTTGGCTGCATGATCACTTTAAACATGTGTGATTGAAGTGAAGCACCTCAGAATGGTTACAAAAATTAATGTGGTCACTTACCATTACATTTGTCAGTTTTATGAACTAAAATTCATCAAATACTAATATCCTTTGACGATTAGTTTGCTGACTTCCGAGTAATGAGAGAGAGAGAGAGAGAGTTTACTGTATGTACAAATAATAGTACTTCGTTTTCTTTTAAGAACTAACTATTAAAAGAAGTTAATATAACCAGATTTAGGTAATTGATACAAAAATTTTGAAAACCTGAAACGTTTTGTGTATTCTCCAAATATTTTATGACATATTGTCACTGTCATACAAAATAAACCAAAACAAGTAGGTATGTACATTTCAAAAACTATTATAACGTAGTGGTTGTAATTTATAATATACTCTTTACCTAGAGGTTTGAAAATATAACAGATAACGTTCGTATTAGCATAATCAATAAATATTTAAATGTATAATAAATAAACACTAACCCATTTTATGAAATCATCTTTTTACAAATCAAATCCTTTGTACTTTCATTGGAAAGTACGGTCGTGAACCATCTAGATCCATCACCTTCCTACAATCGTCATTACGTCTTGTAAGGTGGCGCCCTACACTTTATATGCCGGTATAAAGCTGGCACTTGAGAATCTTTCTTGTCCAGCGGTTGTCAATTTTTCGAGCTATACGGCCGGCCTTTTGCCAGTTGAGCTTACATACCCGTAAGGCTATGATAGTTAGTACGCTTCTACTGAAGATATCCTCATTTCAAAGTTCTAGTCCGATGTGCGATTTTAAAGTTCTTCGTAATGCCAGCAGTGAAGGACCAGGTATCAGATCCGTGGCTGTGTCATTTATCATATTGCATATAATATTATGCTATGTAAATAATTAAAATAAACTTATTTATTTTTATTTCATTTTTTTTATTTATTTAATCTTTCATGCACAAAGTTGTGCATATGGCGAACTTAATGCCATGGGGCATTCTCTCCCAGTCAACCATTAGGCTAAACAGAGATTATACAAACAAGAGGCGGTGCAGCAGTAATCAAAATATAAAACGCTAAAAAATTATTGTATATACATATACACATACATACATACCTAAATACAGATAATATATACATATATAAATACATATCTACACATATACATGCATATATACACAATACATATAAATATTATCTATGTCAGAACAGATATGAAATATACATACGTGTATGAAAATAAGAACTGTGTTAGTTCAAACTTGCAACGATTTTTTCACATGCTTACGGACTTAATTTTTAAAAACAAACTTGTTGGAAGCTTTTATAATGTCAATAGTGATGTCGTTCTAGAGTCGGATGGCCGTAGGGCGAAAGATTGAGATAAGTAACCAGTACGATGTAAAGGAGTAAGCAACTTAAGATTAGCCGAAGAACGGATACAACGGTTATGAGAATCTCCCAGGTATTGAAATTTGGATTTCAGATACTCGGGAGCACATGGATCGTTCGGAATTGGGAAAAGGGTGCAGAGTATATTGACATATCGGTGCTGACGGATAGGCAGCTAATTTA